TGTATGGTCGTGGGAAGCGTATCGTCATGGGAAGTGTATGGTCATGGGCAAGGTATGGTCATAGGAAGGGTATGGTCATGGGCAAGTTATGGTGATGGGCAAGGTATGCTCATGGGCATGGTATGGTCATGGGCAAGGTATGTACATGGCCAATGAATGTTCATGGGAAATGAATGGTCATGGGAAAGGTATGTACATGGCCAATGAATGGCCATTGGCAGGGTATGGTCATGGGCATGGTATGGTCAAAGGCAGGGTATGGTCATGGGCAGGGTATGGTCATGGGCAGGGTATGGTCATGGGCAGGGTATGGTCGTGGGCAGGGTATGGTCGTGGGCAGGGTATGGTCGTGGGGAGGGTATGGTCGTGGGGAGGGTATGGTCATGGGAAGGGTATGGTCATGAGCAAAATATGGTCATAGGAAGGGTATGGTCATGGGCAAGGTATGGTCATAGGCAAAGTATGGTCATGAGCAAGGTATGGTCATGGGCAAGGCATGTACATGGCCAATGAATGGTCATTGGCAATGAATGGTCATGGGAAAGGTATGTACATGGCCAATGAATGGCCATTGGCAGGGTATGGTCATGAGCAAAATATGGTTATAGGAAGGGTATGGTCATGGGCAAGGTATGGTCATGGGCAAAGTATGGTCATGAGCAAGGTATGGTCATGGGCAGGGTATGGTCATGGGCAGGGTATGGTCATGGGCAAGGTATGTACATGGCCAATGAATGGTCATAGGCAATGAATGGTCATGGGAAAGGTATGTAAATGGCCAATGAATGGTCATGGGGAGGGTATGGTCATGGGCATGGTATGGTCATGGGCAGGGTATGGTATGGTTATGGTCATGGGCATGGGCATGGGCATGGTATGGTCATGGGCATGGTATGGTATGGTCATGGGCATGGTATGGTCATGGGCAAGCCATGGTCATGGGCAGTGAATGGTCATGGGCAAGGTATGTACATGGCCAATGAATGGTCATGGGCAATGAATAGTCACGGGAAAGGTATGTACATGGCCAATGAATGGTCATATGTCAATGAATGGCCATGGACAAGGTATGTACATGGCCAATGAATGATCATGGGCAGGGTATGGTCATGAGCAAGGTATGGTCATGGGCAAGGTATGGTCATGGGCAAAGTATGGTCATGGGCAATGAATGGTCGTGGGCAATGTATGTACATGGCCAATGAATGGTCATGGGTAGAGTATGGTCATGGGCAAGGTATGGTCACGGACAAGGTATGGTCACGGTCAAGGTATGGTCATGGGCAATAAATGGTCATGGGCAAGGTATGGTCATGGGCAAGGTATGGTCACGGGCAAGGTATGGTCACGGGCAAGGTATGGTCACGGACAAGGTATGGTCACGGGCAAGGTATGGTCACGGGCAAGGTATGGTCACGGGCAAGGTATGGTCACGGGCAAGGTATGGTCACGGGCAAGGTATGGTCATGGGCAAAGTATGGTCATGGGCAATGAATGGTCGTGGGCAATGTATGTACATGGCCAATGAATGGTCATGGGTAGAGTATGGTCATGGGCAAGGTATGGTCACGGACAAGGTATGGTCACGGTCAAGGTATGGTCATGGGCAATAAATGGTCATGGGCAAGGTATGGTCATGGGCAAGGTATGGTCACGGGCAAGGTATGGTCACGGGCAAGGTATGGTCACGGACAAGGTATGGTCACGGGCAAGGTATGGTCACGGGCAAGGTATGGTCACGGGCAAGGTATGGTCACGGGCAAGGTATGGTCACGGGCAAGGTATGGTCATAGGCAAAGTATGGCCATGAGCAAGGTATGGTCATAGGCAAAGTATGGCCATGAGCAAGGTATGGTCATAGGAAGGGTATGGTCATGGGCAGGGTACGGTATGGTCATGGGCAATGAATGGTCATGGGCAAGATATGTACATGGCCAATGAATGGTCATGGGCATGGTATGGTATGGTATGGTCATGGGCATGGTATGGTATGGGCATGGGCAGTGTATGGTCAAGGGCAAGGTATGGTCATGGGCAATGAATGGTCATGGGCATTGAATGTTCGTGGGCAAGGTATGTACATGGCCAATGAATGATCATGGGCAAGATATGTACACGGCCAATGAATAGTCATGGGCAGGGTATGGTCATGGGCATGGTATGGTCATGAGCAGGGTATGGTCATGGGCAATGAATGGTCGTTGGCAGGGTATGGTCATGGCCAATGGCATGGTATGGTATGGTATGGTCATGGGCATGGTATGGTATGGGCATGGGCAGGGTGTGGTCATTGACAAGATATGGTCATGGGCAAGGTATGGTCATGGGCATGGGCATGGTATGGTCATGGGCAGGGTATGGTCATTGGCAAGGTATGGTCATTGGCAAGGTATGGTCATGGGCAAGGTATGGTCATGGGCAGGGTATGGTTATGGGCAATGAATGGTCATGGGCAAGATATGTACACGGCCAATGAATAGTCATGGGCAGGGTATGGTCATGGGCATGGTATGGTCATGAGCAGGGTATGGTCATGGGCAATGAATGGTCGTTGGCAGGGTATGGTCATGGCCAATGAATGGTCATGGACAATGAATGGTCGCGGGCAAGGTATGTACATGGCCCATGAATACTCATGGGCATGGTATGGTCATGGGCAATGAATGGTCATGGGCAATGAATGGCCATGGGCAAGGTATGTACATGGCCAATGAATGATCATGGGCAGGCTATGGTCATGGGCAGGGAATGGTCATGGGCAGGGAATGGTCATGGGCAGGGAATGGTCACGTGCGAGGTATGGTCACGGGCGAGGTATGGTCACGGGCGAGGTATGGTCACGGGCGAGGTATGGTCACGGGCGAGGTATGGTCACGGGCGAGGTATGGTCACGGGCGAGGTATGGTCATGGCCAAGGTACATACATGGAAAATGAATGATCATGGGCAATGAATGGTCATGCGCAATGAATGGTCATGGGCAATGAATGGTCGTGGGCAAGGTATGTACATGGCCAATGAATGATCATGGGCAATGAATGGTCATGGGCAATGAATGGTCATGGGCAATGAATGGTCATGGGCAATGTACGATCATGGGCAGGGTATGGTCATGGGCACGGTATGGTCGTGGGCAATGAATGGTCGTGGGCAAGGTATGTACATGGCCAATGAGTGCTCATGGGCATGGCACGGTCATGGGCAAGGTATGTTCATGGGCAATGAATGGTCATGGGCAAGGTATGGTCATGGGCAAGGTATGGTCATGGGCAAGGTAGGATCATGGGCGAGGTATGGTCATGGGCAATGAATGGTCATGGGCAAGGTATGGTCATGGTCAAGGTATGACCATGGGCAAGGTATGGTCAAGGCCAAGGTATGGTCACGGGCATGGTATGGTCACGGGCATGGTATGGTCATAGTCAAGGTATGGTCATGGGCAAGGTATGGTCATGGTCAAGGTATGGTCATGGGTAAGGTATGGTCATGGGCAATGAATAGTCATGGGCAAGGTATGTACATGGCCATGAATGCTCATGGGTATGGTATGGTCATGGGCAAGGTATGTACATGGCCAATGAATGATCATGGAGAGAGTATGGTCATGGGCAAAGTATGGTCATGGACAATGAATGGTCATGGGCAATGAATGGTCATGGGCAATGAATGGTCATGGGCAAGGTATGGTCATGGGCAAGGTATGGTCATGGGCAAGGTATGGTCATGGCCAAGGTATGGTCATGGCCAAGGTATGGTCATGGCCAAGGTATGGTCATAGGCAATGAATGATCATGGGCAGGGTATGGTCATGGGCAAGGTATGGTCATGGGCAAGATATGGTCATGGGCACCGTGCGGTAATGGGCACGGTATGGTCATGGCCAATGAATGATCATGGGCAGGGTATGGTCATGGGCTAGGAATGGTCATGGGCAGGGTATGGTTATGGGCAAAGTATGGTCATGGGCAAGGTGTTGTCATGGGCAAGGTATGGTTATGGTCATGGTCAAGGTATGGTCATGGGCAAGGTTTGGTCTTGGCAAGGTATGGTCATGGTCATGGTATGATCATGGGCAAGGTATGGTCATGGGCAAGGTATGGTCATGGGCAAGGTATGGCCATGGCCAAGGTATGGCCATGGGCAAGGTATGGTCATGGGCAATGAATGGTCATGGCCAAGGTATGGTCATGGCCAAGGTATGGTCATGGCCAAGGTATGGTCATGGCCAAGGTATGGTCTTGGGCAAGGGCAAGGTATGGTCATGGGCAAGGTATGGTCATGGGCAAGGTATGGTCATGGGCAAGGTATGGTCATGGGCAAGGTATGGTCATGGGCAATGAATGGTCATGGGCAATGAATGGTCATGGGCAATGAATGGTCATGGGCAATGAATGGTCATGGGCAATGAATGGTCATGGGCAATGAATGGTCATGGGCAATTAATGGTCATGGGCAATTAATGGTCATGGGCAAGGTTTGATCATGGGTAATGAATGGTCATGGGCGATGAAAGGTCTTTGTTATGGTAGGGGATTGCCGTTTTATAATTATTTAATTTAGGTAGCACACATTTTGATTATTAATAGATCGGCGTAAGAAATGTTTTTTTTTGTTTTCAACTGCATTAGGGAGAAGATATTTGTTTATTACCGAAACATTACAGAAATACAAACAAGCATGTATGCTGTTTCGTCTTTTGTCACTGACATCATTCGACGACGACTATTACATCTACTTAATTTCAGTTTTACATTCAATGTCATGCAGGCAATGACAGGAAAACTAATAATCATCGTTCACCAAATTGTTGAAATACCTATTTTATCAGCTTGTTTGATAGCTTACCTGATTTGCATGTTCCAAATATTCAGTTTGATTGGTAACAAGAACTACTGTACGATGCTCATCAAGTAAAAATTGCAAAATCGCCTTTTCCATCACGTGAGCCGCCACGTGTACATCCAGGGCTGATACGGGGTCATCCTATAAGTGTTGTAAATAACGTAATATAGTCTTTATGCTGTGTAAATTATGCAAATATGCTACATTAATTGTAAATTTCTCTCTCTGTGGCTGATGATATTAACACCATGTCCAAACCTTTCCAACTTCTGGGAAAACATAACATATATTGTTGGCACAACCCAAAAATCCTTACTTACATGTGTACATGTTCTCTGAATTGTAGTTGCTAGGTTACATAATATATGTACATAATATATAGTGATAAATCGTTTTGATTCCATATATCGTAAATAAAGTACAAAATATAATTGCGCAGAAAATATTAGGGTAATAGAAAGAATACCAACCAGCAATACTGTGTTTACATTACTGTACAGCGCCCTCGCAAGACTAATTCGTTGTTTCTGTCCTCCACTTATATTAATACCTTTCTCGCCAATTTCTTTCTTATCTCCAGGTATGTTTTGTAAATCAAATTTCAATGCACATACACTGATAACTGCATCGTACCTGTAATTGAAATAAATGTTAAATATTTACGTGTTCAACTGTATTCATTGCGAAATTTAAAAAAAAAACATGTTTATGCATTATGATTGACGGTACACATCACTGTTTGTCTGAATCATATTTCAGTTTGTATTTTCCCTTCAACCTAAAAGATGATGTTCTAATATAATCGTACATGTTACCCGCTGGTGTTAGCTTCGGTTTTCAAACAAACATCGCAATAAAACAATTTACGTTAAGTATGATTCATTTAAAGATCAAACATTATTCCTCTCACCTTTCAGGTAAATACTCTTCCCCAAACAGTATATTGTCTCTGAGTGATGCGTTCTGTAACCAACCTTCCTGGGCAACGTAAGCCAAACTCTTGTCATTCCTATTGGAAAGATTGCATTACACAATACCTTGAATTCTTGCTGGAAATGTTGTATTTATTGATGTTCCTATTGACAAGTACGACTGAGTACATTTTCAGACATTGTTGTCATTAATACGTACAAACACAGGTTATACTGACGTACTGTGAATAACCAGGTTTAAGCGAATATGCGTGATCTAGTAATGATAAAATACGGCGTTTTAATTTCATGCAATCCTGTATTGAGTTAATCACTCACCCAGGAAAAATAATTTTTCCAGACACTGTGTACAGCTCTCCAAGAATTGCTGATAGTAAGGAAGATTTACCAGAACCAACGTCGCCTACTATAATGTTCAGTGAACCTTAACAAAATAGCAATGCATTTATTATTTTCCGGGTTTCATTTAATGTTTTGCAGTTCACGAATTTCCATCGAAACAATTTGAGCTATATTACCGGTTCGAATTTTTACATTAATGTTATTCAGAACTGATTCACATGCGTCTTCTGTCCACGAAAATGTACCATTGATAATCTACAGAAAATAATTAAATATCTTAAATATCTGCAATTTATAGTGTTGTATACCGTGAAAATATGGTGCTTTATCAGCGAACAGCAAAATAGCACAAAAACATCCAGGATTAACTAAATACAAATGTAAAGGCTTAAGAGAAACATGTTGAAACAAGAGAAACAGAATGGCTAATGAATGGGTCTGTGGTAGAAATGAAAGAAAAATTAGCTAACTCAAATATGCTGGACTGTAAAATATGGACAATAAGATACCCAAAGTATAAAAATAGAGCACACTCTCTCTCTTATATTAGCCGAATTGTTCACAGTACTACTAAAAATTCTACTAAATTAATGTATGAGCTGGTGAAAAATTTACGTAGTGTGAAAATAATTTACTTACTTCAACTGCAATATCTGGCTGTACGTAACATATTCTGGAAGACGTACAAGAACTTGTTGCTGAGTAGTTCCGGGTTGATGCAAAGGAAGTCAATGGCGTTCTGCTATTAACGGTATTCATATCGTTTTGCATCTGAAACGGCATTAAAATGAATATTCATAGATATCTATTACTGTCATGACAAATGTCAACATGGCAATGAGCAAATACAGTATGGTATAGAAAGTTACAAACATAACAAATTACAGTGTTTGCTTTAATGATAAAATGAAAAGAATAATGAGATATTCCTGAAGTAACGGTATATAAACTTCTTTTGATCAAATATTCAATCGGTACAAACATGTGCTTCTAGCCAATGTTGAAAAATTAGAGGTAGTTTCGTAGCTGCCTCTTTAAAGCAACTCCCTGCTATCACTTATATCCATGATTGATAAACAATACCTAAACTTCTATCAGGGGGGAATTCTTTTCTCTGGGTTCTCCACACTTGTCAGGGGGAATCTCGTCTCGTCTCTCTATCGCGTCCCCCTTGAGGTACGGGATCGGAGAAGTCACTTAAACTTTACAGTCAAATAGACGCACACAACAAAATACGTTTCAACTCTCGTCTTAGTCAGTCAATCGAGCACTCTATAAGACACAGCGCCCTGGGGAAAAGTCCCCAAGACTATCGCAAGGCTGACACAAGACTCTGTCCAAGACTGTGTCAAGACTCGCCCCAAGACTCTCCAGGACTGGACTTTGGACTCTCCAAGAGTGCCTCTGTCCTCGTGTACTCACCAAGACCAACTAAAAACTCTTTATTCATTTTCAAAACCTTAACCAATTACAAAGCAGTAAAAAGACTCTAAGGCGTAACCTTCAATCATAAAGCCAATCACACTAAGTACTGAATACGTCATATATTTTGATTAATCGTTCACTACATTAATAATTGCGAATACTAACTGTCAGAAATAGTAGTCCGAATAGCGACGGTTATCTCGTAATTAGTTCCAAATCACTGAGTCGAGTTCCGTCCAAAACTTCACATGGCCTAAACGGTGCCAGACATAACACAGTCATTCATTCGTAATCAGCTAATTAAGTCGATTAACAGATACGTGCAATTAATTTCATCATACTTCTCCCGAATCACACATTAGCGTCCTTATCCAAAGACAAATGGCGCACTTACCTTATAATGTTCATCGATGTAATCTTCTTCAGTATCATTTAAAGTGACTTCTGACTCATTTCTACACCTACTTATGTTCAGCAATGTTAAATATGACTGAACTCTGGTGTTACTAGTCACTGCCTCCACCACATACTTTGATAAATTAGGTAGGAAGTAGAGGGGATGCAGCAGCAAGTTTGTCAACGCAAGCGCAGAAAACACCACATCTGGTGTTAATGGCGCAGTTTCGAGGTATGAATGCATAGCAAATATCTGAAAATAAACCATATTGTATACGACATGTATGTGCAAATATGCCATGTTAACTGCTTATGCACTGTGTACCTTTCCCCGATTTTCCAATGTATATTTCATACTTACAACGACAGGAACAATGATTGGCGCACATTGTGACACGACAGCTATAATAAATAAATAAATAAATAAATAAATAAATAAATAAATAAATAAATAAAGAAAGAAAGAAAGAAAGAAAGAAAGAAAGAAAGAAAGAAAGAAAGAAAGAAAGAAAGAAAGAAAGAAAGAAAGAAAGAAAGAAAGAAAGAAAGAAAGAAAGAAAGAAAGAAAGAAAGAAAGAAAGAAAGAAAGAAAGAAAGAAAGAAAGAAACAACAAGCAACAAATATTATTGCGTTGTATGGGACCGATTGGATTACATAGCATTGTAACGTTTGGGTGACTCAACTCACTTGCATAAAGAAAATGTAATCCGACATTTGACTTATGTTTCATTTCCTGTTGTCGTGCTTCATTCATACGTGACGTAAACATGTCTTCCCATCCACATAATTTGATAAGCTTCATTCCTTGTAATACCTCGTTAGTCATTTTCAAACGAATATCAGAATAAGACTATACAAGAACAACGTAATTGTAATAAACATGTTATTTATAAGATAAAATTTAAGATGAATTTTGAGGCAAAATTTAAAGTGAAATGTTTTACCAATATTAGGATTCATATCATTTATAATATATATTTCCATTTCGTCACACCGACATTTCGAGAGATTACAAAAAATTCCATGAAAACAAATGCAAAAATTGTGTTCCTCGGAATTTTTAGTAATGGAAATAGCCAGTTTTGTTGACATCATTGGGGAAATAGCACATACTCAGCCTAAAATGGCACTGGTTATGAGATTATGACTTTGACGACATGCAATAATGTTGTATGTTATTTAAGCAAGCATACAACATGCTTAGTACCATTCAAATAGCATGACTACTAAACTACTCTTTCTTTCGAGCCAAAAGTTATTGTAAAATATGTTTTTGCAGTAATGTATTTCCAAATATACTGTATACTCACTAGACACAATTTCTGTGATCCACTCTGCATAGTACTAATCCAAAATAACAACGGTAGCGTCGCCACGACAATACACACTCCTAAGATTCCGGCTACTCCCACGTGCCAGATAAGCACACACGATACAGCCAAGATCTAAAACATAAATTAGAAAAAATACTGATTGCCAGGTTCACTGTGGACACGGCAATTAATTACGATGATGTTATGAGATAATGAATATTTAATTGATCAAAGAAGCATCTCTTACTTGTACAGGAATAGCGATGATAAAATTGTTAAACAAGAAGAGCCACTGTATGGCGATGCCGTCCACAGACATCATATTAATAGTTTGTCCAACCAATGATTGACCCGATGACCTGGACAACTGCAGCATTCTCTCATATACTCCATACTGTGAATGAATTTATTATTACAATGAGATTTTATATGTTTGAGATAAATAATTACCAATAATTAACAAAAAATACTTACCTGTATTGCCGTCTTTATCTTGACACTTACATAAGCAGATTTCCCAATAGAGTAGATCTGCAGCGTGGCACTAATACAAACACTTGTACAAATCACCAATATCAGAATAAATCCATTACTAAAAAACTCACTTACTGTTGTTAATCTGGAGTCCTATAAGAAAATGTGATTTTGGCTAAAATAAAGTTTTCTGTTCTTTGAAACAAATAAATAAAGCATGTGTTTACATTTAAAGAATAATAGTTGTTTGTGTTAAATTTACTAGTTGTTTTATTTCTTGTTATTATCTACACAGTAATAGCAGCTTAGGATAGATCGATATATTGCCGACGTCATACCTGCGTCTTGTGTATATTTCTCGGCGTCTTGACCGTTTATGTTAGACCCACAATTAGGGTAGCTGCGTAATAACCGTGAAATAACCGAAGAAAAACACCCAACAAGTCACACTAAGCGTTGCTAGGTGGTAAACGCCGATTGAGGGCGTGATTTCACATTTGGGAGGTGCTCGTGTTGACCATGACGGTACTTGCCATTACTTAAACTCGATTTTTTTTCAAAAACTGCTCGAACGAAAACATAAATCATTGCTTATTCAATTGGAAAACATTTCTATTAATCATTTGAAAATTCGCCATTTATATATTTCAAGAATAACACATGTGTAAACCACCCCCAAAAAACAAATCTTTCTTTGTTTGCATTTTTCTTGGCATTTATTATATTCTGAATTCATGTGGGATAGTTCTGTAGTTATAAATTTTGTTTATGTGTTAGCTGGCATGAATGTAATGGCAATTTTTTTTTGTTTTGCCAAAGATTTATGACGTTGGATCTCCGGAAGTTGGTTACGTATTTTCACGAAGGGTCTATAATATTAGGTTGTTTTGCGCAAGATGATTCTATGAAATTGTTACCGATGTCCAAAAACAAACTAAGATATACAAGTTATGTCAAGACATAATAGGGTTCCCGTTTTTTTCAATAGTAAACAAAACTGATATGAGTGATCTATTTTGAATCAAAGTATGAAACAAATGACATGATGTACAATGTAGTTGTAAAATTCGATTGCAAACAGAGACATAGCGATAGATCAGCGTCCGACCATTTTGATCTGAAAAGACACCTATGTTATAGTAATGTATGAATTACCAAAATGTGTATGTATGCCGATGTATAACCGAGATCGTGGTCCAGAATAGCAGAAATGTTACATAAATTTGCATATGTGTGATATTATTTCCCGAGATACGGCTCTTCTATAGCGCTTATTCAAAAAAATGGTAACTGGTTAAAATCGTATCTGAGAGAAACAAATTGAAACGCATGACCCATAATTTCCAAAGTCTATGCCAAATTTGTAAAAATGGTTGGTATTACACGAGCAATATTTGCTTACGTGTCTATAAAGTTTGAACAAGAAGAGTCAAGACCTGTCACACTGGAATATTCATTAAAACAAAGTGGCGACCAGGCAGCCATTTTTTAATTTGATATGAAAACACTAATGTCAAATGTTTGTACCAGGTTTGAACAAAATCCATCTATTCACGACTGAGGTCAGTCGAAAAGTCACCGTTTTCGGACTGCGTCCTGGGGGATAGAATTGTCAAACAACATTCTTGTACATACCACGTGTAGGAACCGCATACATTATACATGTTTTTGCGCCGATATTTTTGCTCATTCTTAACCTACTGTATGATAAATATCAACTTTAGTTCTATATATGAACATGTTGCAAATACACCTTGTTTTGCTGGTAAGTTATAGCAAAAATACTGGGTACACGTCGCACACGTTAGTAAACGGGGTACTGGTATGAAACACTCTGAGCGAAGGCCTAATAGATGATACAGTATATTTAAACTGATTTGTACTCACATACTTCTTCACATTATTGTAATAGTACTCTGTGGCATAGTTTGTATAACCGGTAAGGCACAGTGGTGGCACAATACTCAGTAAAAAGCTAAGAACACGAGCTATTATTCCAGCAGCTATTTCAAATTTATGCGCACGCCAATAAACTTTCCACAATGAGGGTTGTTGATTATCCCCTGCCTGTTCCTGTGTAAATTGAAAATTCATCAATTTATAAATATACTTGTAATGCTTATTGGCATGGTAATTCGTATTAAAATCATATTGGAGTATAAATTACTCCCAACCCTATAAAAATTGCATAAATCACATTCACGCCGACCGATAACTGATACGCACCAGTTACGTCATACAATCCAATACGTACTAAATGCTACATACAATTAGATCTGAACATGATACGTAACTGCTCTTCCATAGACATAATTTGTCATTTTGCCCATATCATAAAATCCAATCTTAATAAAATATGCTATCAACCACCCACAATCAACATCGCTCTTCAACCTTTATAACCTCCCCTCAAACCATGTCTGGAAACAACTTTCACAAATAACTTGTATACAATCAGATCTCACATTACATTTGTTCAAAAAAAAACGCGGTGTATTTTATCACGCAATTGGTCACAATAAAAAAATTATGTAAGAAGGTCCTCAGAAACAATTTATGATTGTCCACGGAACCAACATCCGGAATAAAATAGATCACGCACTTTAGAATAATCAAGTCAAGAGCATTTTATTAATGATATGAATATTTAAACCATTAACAATAACACTGTACTCAGAAATGTTGTATGTTTTCCTCGCTATCTCCGCGACACATGATTCAGAAATATTTATGAGCAAAGAACAAAACGACAAGCTTCTGAATACCCATCCCACGTTGGTGGAAACTTTTCATAAACATCATCTTCGTCATCTGGACTCACGAAGAATGCCAACCTATCACATTCTTCAATTCCCTTCAAACCTATCACATTCTTCAATTCAATGCTGGTTATTATTCAATCAATGTTGGTTTGGTCTAGAGACAAAGTATATTTTCTTGACACCACGATTTACGTAGGGAAAGCATGTTAAAAACCGATCTATATTACAAATCTATAGACTCTCAAAACTACTTTACAATTAGAGTCACTGATATCACTCAAAAATCTATTTCATGTGGTCAAGCACTATGGATGCGCAGAATTTGCTCTGAACATTTTACTGTACTACACAACTCAATTTGTAGACAGAACATGCCCAAGGCAACTACCATATGGCTCAATCACCAGATATAAAATAGACATGTTGCTATTTATACTAACACTAGGAACAACAGAATCCAATTTGTCATCATATAAAATAACCTAGATAAAAAAAGAACCACTGCCAACAAATCATTCGTAATGAGAAAGCACTACATTATTTGTGTTGTTTAATTCATTGTACGTACGGTCTGCGCATGTGTGGCAGATCGGCACAAACCTCATCACTACATCGTCCCAAGTAATAAAGTTTCTATTCCACAACACTGTGTTACATTTCAGGAATGACCTCAAATTCACTGTTATTGACGTCAGAGAAAGTTTAGAATTGACAAATTTAACAGTATCAAACCACGTGGGTTAAATTAGAGAGGTGAACACAACGTATTACTCCTCTATCCCTATATGTGCATGGTATGAATACACAGTATTTCCATAGTATGTCACCATTCGACAGAGTTACGTTCACTGAGTACATATTTAACGTTTATAATTTCACACCTCTGACACTTATTACAGGTTAGTGCATTTCTGCAATTATTGTCGCCTTGTTTATAGTACAGGTTGTTGTGTTTTACTTGTGCTATTGGGTGTTACTCGTGTTATCTTAGCCCCTTCGCCCAGACGTTATTCATTGTGTTCTATTTTATAATTTCACATTTATTTTATTTTTATTATATTTTACCACCTACCTTGGAAATATACTGAATAAACTACACTAACCCTATTTATCATTCTGTATTTACTATTTTAATTTTTTAGGCTCTACCAGCATTATTAAATTAGATTGGCTTTATTTAGACGTTTCATTGTGTTACTAACATCCATTTAACTCTTTTTGTGATATTCCTCCCTCTATACATTGCTCCCACTTGTTGTATATTACTGACCACTGACCTTATGTAGTTACCCACAATCCCTAGCCTGAATTTGTCATTTTGGTATCTAGTGGTAGAAATTTTTCTTCATATTTTTACCAAGTATATATCATTTTGAAAGTTTTCTTGTGTATATCTGTTTTGCTCAAGTGCTGAAACATTGACATAAACACCAATTCTTTGAGCTTTGTAGTTGTAGCACCTCATATATTTTAATGTCACAACTTCTGAATCCATTCATTTACAGTGTTAAATATTTTGGATTTTGATGTGGAAAGGATTCAATCAGCATTAATATGTGATAAATTCACAGTATCAAAATGCACTAACTTTTCTCATACCAATATTAAACATATTATATATATTATTTATTTGGTTGTTTCCAAAGATAGATGAGCCACCCATTACTGGCAAGATTTATTACATTTTAAATATTTCAATAAATATAATGTAAGTGATATGTAGACATTAAGAAACCTGAAGACTTCCTGTTGAGTCGAAGCATATATACAATGCACAATATGATGTAATATGTTAAAAGACCCTGTCTACAACGAAACGGCTCTCTGATTGACTTGACGTTAGGTGTTAGAGTCGGTAGCTAATCTGGCACAATCTTGTAAGTAACTTAGCATTGCCCTAGACCTCTAATTGTGCGTCTAGAGCATACCTCACGAATATTGTGTGAGTTATACGTGGAAATAACTTACTTGCTCAAATTTGTAGGCTTTATTAAATATATGAAGTATTTGCTGCACGCTGTATTCATCAGGCAAGCTGCCTAAATCGGATGTGTTCACTATTTTATTAGATATGAAAGGTAACCTGTTTGCCCACCAGACAGTCAAGCAAGATAAGAAGTTTGTGTGAGATTTCATGAAATACGTGTCAAAGTTCTTCAGGTCGGTCGCTTGTCGTTTATCCAATGAGTTGGCACGGTATACCTTTGTTGAAAGAAAAATTACAGATAGTTAATTTGTTGATATTCTGGCGATTGAATAACGTGCGTATAACACAGTATGGCTATCTCTGGTATAGAAATCTACATCTAAAATACCAGGCACAGAGAACTCAAAAGTAAACTTCGATGTACCTGGACAATCCTATCGACAAATGACACTCATGTGAATGTTGAATGACGTGATAGACCCTAGAAAAAACATACCACCACACTTGTCAAAGGATCCATTTAAGTAATTTTCCCAAATATGTTATTGTTACTTTATATATTGCATATCCGATTGATTCGTATTTCTGTTTTTCGTCAGATTTATCGTAAAATTTACATTAGTTTCCCTGAATAGCTACCTACCAATAAATGTCTTCATAGAGAGATGTGTGCAGAAATATGGAGTCGTGGTTATTCATTTTCCAAGTGATAATTTAAATACTAGTATGCAATCCAGTAACCATTATAGAACGTTACAGAACGTATGATATAACGTTTTGTGTAACAATTAACAATTAAAAAAGTATTGGACACTAAACTTGTGTAGAATTTTACAAAAATCATAAACCAGTCATGAATCATAAAATTTTAACGTGGGTGTTGATTGCAAAAAAGGGATTAAGTCCCGATAGTTGGGGTAGGCATCGCATTGAGATTTGCTAATAGGCCGACAAATGTTATCGTTTGGGTGTGTTAGGCGAATAATACATATAAGGTGAAAACTACATATTAGATGATGAGGTGAATATTATGAGATGTATATTACATATGAGGTGTATATTACATATGAGATGTATATTACATATGAGGTGTATATTACATATGAGGTGTATATTACATAAAAGGTGAATAATAAACACTTTACCTTAGTCCAAAGAACATTGATGTCACAAATCGCACACAATAAGTACAGAACGATAAGAACCATACTGATATCGAAGCGAATAATGTTCACGTCAAATGTAGCTACCAGTGAGAGTCTTAACATTACTAGTAATTCGCCAATTATAGCAATTCCCCAGTACACTAGCAACCAACATACGAGAAGCGGCCTGTCCCAGTATTCGATATGGTGATAGTACACTAAGCTTGTTATTACACAGACACATGAAAACAATTGCGGCAGATAGAAGTACACGTTTGTGACGCAATTGTGTGAGATATCAAACAGGATTCCTTCGGCCAATGCAAAGACTGACACAATGAAGAGAAGTAGTGAGGCTATCCATTTGACCGTATGCCCGGGATAACATACCAACACAATACGGTGATTGGGACGCAGTTTTGGAGAATACCTCGTGACAAAGAAAACGCCACATGTCACCGCTATGAACAAAACATGAGCCACAATTTGAAGGATGTAAGTTTCGTGTAGCTTGCTTTGTATTCCGATGGATTCGTTCATGCTCTATGTTCGATAATCCTTCACCACCTACGAAAATAGGAAGATATGTTCTATAAACCAACATTACCCAGGGTAACGAAGTGAACTTGCACTAATTTAGAGCACAACATGACAAAATGATGATTGGTCATTTAAGAAATAATGAAACAGAAAACTGTATATTTACCTGTAAGTTCTACACAGCTGTAAAATATCTGTACTGAGCGGGCATCGATATAAATTCCGTCTGTACCCATGCGGTCCATGTGACATGTCTTATCATGTGGTCTGTACAAAAGGCTATTTTTATTATTGTTTATGTGACATCTGAATGAATAGGGTTTACTTGCTTGTTTCAGTTGTATTCTAAGTATAGGTTGATAGTGCTTTACTTTACATTTATAATTTGCTGTTATAATTTTGTTTTGATTCTAAAAGAATAGTTTATTTTTAAGAAAATATTTCATGAGTTTGATCATTTTAAAAATGTAGAAATATCTACGAGTCAACCTATCTGTGATTAGAAATGGGTGGCGTTATAACGCCGAATTATAATTGTGTATGCTCTGTTGTACCCAAGAAATCATGGGCATGCGCACTGGAATACTTCCGGTTTCACAACCGTTATTTTGTAGGCACAGGAAAATATGTAATTGAGTCGACTAACCGTTTTCATCCGTTGTACCGTATGAATCACGCACATTGCTCGCCTATACGATTTAACCCGCTTTCCTACAAATTAATAAAAAAAAATATACAGAAGGTCGCTCTCAGACATTTGCTCTCAAAAAAACAATAGTTAGTTGATATGATGTACATAGTCGAGAGACAAGATCATTTTCTTTCGAAAACGCCAAATTCAATCGAATGGCTGTCATTAATACGATTAGTGTACTTTTGTGTATATTATTTAAATTCCCTCACATAATATGACAATAAAATCGAAAACTAATAGGAATGAGTTGTTCTCTAATTAGTAACATCCATCGGAAGGTGTGGACGTTAGGCCCATTATTTATAAAGTTGATTTATTTTGATCTACGCTATATTTGTGCTAACCTCCACGCAACGTGGTGATTAATGGCTAGTAATTTTTTAAACTGTCAGTTAAAAATATTATTTAAATTAAAATAGAACACACAGGTTATGATCCGTTTCTCTATTTATCAATTTTCCTGTCGATTTCTCGTATGTGTATTTTTAAAATTAATATGCTGTAGAGAACTATCATTATTAGAGTTACTGTATTACATTGGAATTTGGACATATGTAGTGGGTATGTATTGACCATGTACGAATGTTATAGCAAAGTAATAACCCGGTTATTAAGCCAAATTAAATATAATGTAAGCCAGCTTCCGAGTTTCCTTTATTTTAAAATAGAACATTGCTAATTATCCCCGCATCGATTGTCAATTCTTCGTATTGATTGCTCATGAACTTCTAGAGGTATTAATCTGTGTTTGATGCGAGTTCAGCGCTCTTTGATCCCGGGGAACGTCGTGTACACTACGTTCGCTCGTTACACTCATTATTAAAATCGTGATTAATACATATATGTACACTTTTCAATTATTTATTCATCATTCAAGTGAACCTCTGGATACACCTTGATGATAAGAGGTGTTAGACTGGCGCAGTCGGGGCGATTAATTTGTTTTTTGTAGTTTAAATAAAATAAAAAAAATCGCGAAATAGAGGTGTTAGCGCGAAATCATCCCGACTGGTTTATTCTGCAGGAAATTCATTGCTATTAAATATTCATGAATGCCAACAGGTGAGCGCGGAGACACGTGCAAAATGAGGTGAACATGGTAAAGGTCACACTGCAGACAGCCGCAGACATAACATGGTGGCACGTTGAAATCCGAGTTTGTCGTAGTCGTCGTTTCTAATTCATCACAATTTGTAAAAAAAAAAGTAACCGTACTAGTCGCAGAATTAAACAAATCGGTTGTAGTCTTCTCGGTCAGAGATCAGTTGAAGAGACGTTGTGATTGACTTAGATGATTGTCAATTAGAACATCATTAACATAATTACCCGTTAAAAAATCGACGGGTTTCTGCAGTGTCGATAGAGGGCCATTCAGAATAAACCAGTCGGGGTGATTTCACAGTTACAGGGGATTTCGCGCTAACACCTCCATTTCGCATTTGTTGTATTTTATTTGAACTACAAAAACAAATTAATCTATGGAAAGCCGTACGGGACCCTGCTGCGTCAATATAAATTGCATGGTAAAACATATAGCTTCAAAATTTAGCTGCTTCTTCAACAAAAGTGCGATTTCCGATGTCTACGTTTACAAATCGGAGTAGTAGCAATCAGCGCCAAACTTATTCACAGTCGTCGCTAAATAATTAGCAGTTGTCGCAAAGCGAGTTGTAGTAGTCGCGATTTAACGGGTGATGATTTGTCGAAGTCACTAACACTCTGCAACGTATAGGTCGCAGACGCGATCTTTAATTT